AAACATTCGGTCCTTCCATTAGCTCTGGGACCATGATGAGTAAAGTGCTGGAGCTCTGTTAAATCTCTCCCCATAACACTGATACTCCTAGTTCACATCTTTAGGATAATGAGGAAAGAATATTACAAGTGAGAGTCAAAGGACATTAAGTTATTTATTTGACCTTGACTTATTCTCTACATAAGAATATTTAAAGTGACTTCATCAGTTAACATGACATGATAAATATATGAACCTGTACAGCGAGTTAAAGTCTGTTAATAATAAGTAAAATTTCGTCCAGACTTGTTGACAGAGCTATTATCATATGACAAGAGTAAACAGTTGGTATTCAACGATATGTTGACATCTCGGTATAAACCTTATAGATATATATAGTACTCTTCATGCTTCACCCTTCATGTATCGTAGAAGTTACTGAAGCTTCATGTAGGCTGCAGGATGTAGTTAGGTGTCGGTAGCAGCGTCTAGTGATACAGACACAGTGGGTTCGCCAGAAGGTTGCAAGAAGCATCACGAAAATAGTGGTAGCCCTCTGCGTTCAACAGCAGACAGTTCTCAGCTGACCCACCGTCTGGCTCCAGGGTATAATGCTCATTAGTGTAACCCCAGAATGGTGAACCTGTGATGTAAAGTTTTGTGTTAGACTTCTGCCTGGAGTGAGGGCTATTGGTGGTAATGAAGGAAGAGGGTTAAACTACTAGCCTGACTTACATGTTGTATTAAGAGACTGGAGGAACAACGTGAGGCCTTGGGCCTATCTGATCATCGGATTGTAATTCAGGAGGTCTAAAGTTACTTAATTCCTCTATTACTATTTATCATACGGGGGACTATGAGCACATATTTCACGAGGAATAGGTGACTTAACCCCGGGGTGGAGGGACAAGGCAGTACACGACCACTCGCATCCCTGACCAAATTATCAGTTCTGTCTTCCAAATAGTGGAAATGCATAACCAACATACAGACACACAGTATCAGTTCTGTCTGCTGCTTATAGAAGTAATGTTCATTGTGTGTTCGTTGAGCATAAAAAAATTCATATTTTTATTTAGTAACTTGTTTTACCTTTACCTCTTCTATAAAACTATTGAAGTGTTACAAATGGTATTGGAGAAAGGTCTCTAACGTATCTATTGCTGCTCTGGCGTATTTAATCGATAATAATAATAATAATAATAATAATAATAATAATAATAATAATAATAATAATAATAATAATAAAAGGGTTTTGTTGTTTACAAAAAGCCTATGATTCGCAATGCAAACATGTGAATAATCGGACCATTTATTTAAGTAGGAAACAGTCATTCTATGTAGTAGGTAGTTGGCAGCTACCAAACAGGGAGGTCTACCGCCTGGGAAGATATTGGAAGCATAATGTGTTGTCTAATGGTAGACCCTGCTGCCTTATGTGACCAAGTCCCTGGTTGATGATCTAACATTCTGCTTCATTTACACACAATTGCAGGGTCTCAATTGTTTCTCTTACCATTGACAACACAACATACATATAGTGTTTCTCACTCTTGATTAATTTTTTAATTTTTGTAATTTTCCATGGTTCTTTATTAATATTATTATTATTATTATTATTATTATTATTATTATTATTATTATTATTATTATTATTATTATTATTATTATTATTATTATTATTATTATTATTATTATTATTATTATTATTATTATTATTATTATTATTATTATTATTATTATTATTATTATTATTATTATTATTATTATTATTATTATTATTATTATTATTATTATTATTTTCGCCCCCAGGCCTCGATGTGGGTCAGTGACCTGTGACCGGGTAGGCTAATACCCGTAAAAAATAAATAAATAAATCTACGAAGAGCGAATACAAAAGTTTCTGAATATTTTTGGAAACTCGAGGTGTATTCGGCAATTTTAGACAAATGAATAATAAATGTAACTTATCAAACTATTTTTTTTATCGACAAGCTTAAATTTAATATTTGACAAACATAATAATAATGAGGAACAATACCCATTGTGACGTGCTGGCCGTCCGTCCATGTCCAGAGGCCTTCGCTGGCCTCGTCGGAGGCACCCAGCCAGAAGGAGTGACCAGCAATCTCTGCAACACAGTTGTGATCAGTAACCAGTGACAGTTGACAGATTGATCTGTGGTTCTTGCAACACAGAACGTGTGATGTTTTGCCCAAGAAACAGGCTGGCAACACCTTTTATCTATGTCTTTGTCTTGTGTGTTGCGTATAATGATTCACATCTGTTTACAAACACAACAGTCAAGCGAGTCTCTATATGAGTTAGAGAGGAGTCTTCAGCATATAGAGGCATTAATCAACATACCTTCCTGGTGTATGTAGACGTATATAGCCCTCAGGTCCTCGATGTCTGTAATGGTTGCTAGTTCCCCGGATATTCCATGACATGACTGGCGAGCGTCCGCCCAGTTCTGTGAAGCCCACGTCACGAACGACAGACACAATCCGCCAACATTCACGAAGAACGTCGGGCAGTTCACCTCCGTTGTCACTGCTGCTAAAGTTTGAGAATGACTTTAATAATACAGTGCTCGAGGCTCGCGGGTCTAGGACGTCTCAGACCACCAAACTAACAGTACAGTGAGGTACACACACACTATGTCACTGGTACAGTGTCCGAGGAACAACCAAACGTATAACATAAAGTGAAAATTGACTCGTATCTACACCTGCTTCTGTGTTCAGTAACCCTGACTCAAGACTTGTGACTTTCTCTACTATAACTTGTAAACTTTCAATAAAACATCAGTACAGTAGTTTGTATTATACTTACCTGTTCTCAATAATTTACACAATAAATTAAAATAGTGCAAACCTTCAAATATTTCTTGTTTGGTTAAATTTAAGAAAATATCTAATCGTAAGTACCATAGACGGTACATCTATGCTGAGTCATGATATACAAGGCATTACAACAGAGTATTAGGTAGTTTATGGTGTATGATCGTTGGTATCTTGTACAGTGAAGTCCAGCTAATTCACTAGCGTCTTAATACTTTGTGGTTGAACAAAGAAAGAATTGTTGTAAAAGTACTGAATAATATCATTAATGTTGTAATTGGAGGGCAAAATGATGCTCTGAAGATACGCTAATTAGTTCAACCATAATGGTGTTTCCCGGGAATTAACGACAGGGTGACCTGACCTTGTGGTGCTTGTTATTATTGAACTTCGAGATCACTGAAATCAATTGAGGCCACCGCCGTAGTAAGGCCACAAGCGCCACCGCGCCCCAAATCGATTTACCACCACAGAATGTTTCAAGAAGGTTTCCTCTATCACAAAGTGTGTCCTATGTAGATGACCCAACACCTGTTGTGAGTGAACCCGAGGCTGGGCCGTCACGGGGCCGTAAGCGTCCGTGCAGGTCTTACACGTGGAAGAGTAATGTAGCAAAAAGGCCTCGTCATGAAGGCAATGCATACACCAGTCGTATGACCAAAAAATTACTACCAGCAAGGCAGGTAGGTCCCTCCTGTGCCGATGGGTGTTTCACGAAAGTCGCCTTTTTCTCTATTCTTTGAAAAATGTCACATATGCCCTTACTACTACAATGGCCTCAATTATGTCTATGTACACATATATATTTATCTAGTTACTTGTTTGTTTAAGTTGGCTTGGCTGTTCACACAATGGTACTAAGGAGTACAGGCAATTAACGTCGTTCATATAGAAACAATAACCGGCCGGTAACTCTAAGCAGTCTTCTTCGTGATAATTATCTGGTTGTTGTCCACCGACAGTGGCTTCCCAGAATGGTGTTCCTCGAGGTATAGGCGCACCACTGGATGAGCGCCAGTCGCCCTCCTGTTCTTGATCGGCTCCGTCAATCCAGAAATGTCTGTCATCCAAACCTGCGGAAGATACCAACACTGTGTACTTGTAATTAGTATCCAACAGTTCTCCGTGGTGTGCTCGTCCTTACTGTTGGTCACCTCTGCCTTGCCACATCATTTTGAGATACTTTACATATTGATGTCAAAATTCTCACAACCAACACATAGTACAATATATATCACGTTTATTTACTTCCTACCATCATCATATTTGTCGTCAGTGATGGTGATGTATCTGTGAGGCTGGAGGATCTGCTTAACATTGTCTTGTTAAAGGAAACGTTAAATAATTCATCAATATGTCATAAACATAATAATGTAATAAAAACCTGAAGTAGTTCTTACCATTATTATAAATGTAGTGGATGATATTGTATAGCCGTGTGGCTGTGAGGATGGCGGCCAATTCTCCACCTACTGAATGACACATCTGGTGGGCCTCCAAATGAGGAATACTGGCGAAGGTGGCAAAGTAGAGGCACTGATCGCCGACAGCCACGAAGGGTTCCTCACATACTGCCGAGGTGAGGTTGGTGGCTGCTGCTGCCTGGCCCACCCCCCTGTGGCCCATCCCACACGTGTAGGCTGTTGAAATTTGTGCTTGATCAAATATATGTGTGTGTGACATAACACTTATTGTACTTTTACAATGTTTTAGAGAGAGTTTAACTCTTGACTTATGACACACACACACACACATTTAGGCTTCCAAGACTAACGCCAACACCATAAACACAACACCAGCACGGACAGTCAGCAGCGTCTGGCGTTCCTCTTTACCTCTGAGAGACACAATGATGGGAACTAAGCCACTAGAACACTCGCCCGACGCCTGTTATCAGCGGTGCTGCTCTAACACGAGGACAACTCCCTCACTATCAATACACAAGATGACTGTTTTCCTTGTAGGCGTGTACTTACCCAGGAGGTGTGTACTTACCCTGGAGGTGTGTACTTACCCTGGAGGTGTGTACTTACCCTGCACGTGTGTATTCAGCAAGGCTAGGAGGACGAGGCTGCACGTCTTGAGGGAGCTGGTCATGGTGGCCCCGTATACAGTAATCTTTGTCTCTTATGCTCAGTCTTCTTCACCAGTCAGTTATCAGCAAGCAGAGTGAGGAAGCAGGGTCCCACAGTAGCTTATATCTAACTCTCCTCCCTGGTCAGCTGTTAGTCTCCCACACAGTAATCATCAACAAGATAACTGTTACCACAAGACGTTAAACAAAGACTCTGTATAACTCGCCACATGATAGTTGTGTCAACTAAAGTGGAAGTGCTTGTGCTTGCAGCTTGGTAATAAAAATTTACGTTCAGCTGACACAAAATACGGTGTTATCTGTCGTGGTTGACATGGTTTTCGTAGGTGGCATTGGACTGTTGATATTATATCTTGCTCCAGAGTTACGTAAGGTTGTTTTTCACATCATTAGAGACTTGATATTATTCTTCACGAGATATAAGATTGGTGCCACTCATCCGCCCGTCTTTGAACAAGTTTTTCCTACGGATAAGTTAAAAATCGATACATACGAGATTTTTAAGTCTTAGCAAGTACACGATGATTTTTTTTTCCATACTTACTTTACAAAACACATTAATTAAGCATTTCCACAATTTTGATAAAAGAGAGCTGTAATTAGGCCAGGAGGTCCGGGTGGCCTAAGGGATGGCCAGGCACTGTTTCCTGTCCCTCCACCCGGGGGTAAGTCACCTGTTCCTCATAAAATATGTGCTCATTGTCCCCCCCCCCCACCCGATGAGAAATACTAGTTGAGGAATTAAGTAACTTTAGACCTCCTGAATTACAATCCGATGTTCAGATAGGCCCAAGGCCTCACGTTGTTCCTCCAGGCTCTTAATACAACATGTAAGTCAGGCTAGTAGTTTAACCCTCTTCCTTCATTACCACCAATAGCCCTCACTCCAGGCAGAAGTCTTACACTAAACTTTACATCACAGGTTCACCATTCTGGGGTTACACTTTACAATATTATACCGTGGAGCCAGACGGTGGGTCAGCTGAGAACTGTCTGCTGTTGAACGCAGAGGGCTACCACTATTTTCGTGACGCTTCTTGTAACCTTCTGGCGAACCCACTGTGTCTGTATCACTAGACGCTGCTACCGACACCTAACTACAGCCTACAGCATATATATAAATATATTTATATATCTATATATATATATATATATATATATATATATATATATATATATATATATATATATATATATATTATATATATATATATATATATATATATATATATATATATATATATATATATATATATATATATATATATATATGATAAATAAACTGAAGGAGAGAAGAAAACACGAAGTTCCCCAGCGTTTTAGTGTAATTCACACCTTCAGGGGTGTATTGGTACGAGTAGGGGGACGAATGTTGATAATGATGGTAGAATTATATAGTAGTAGTAGTAGTAGTAGTAGTAGTAGTAGTAATAGTAGTAGTAGTAATGACTCAGAATTGGCTAAATGTTTATCATTAAACTATGTGAAAGAGAATGACAGAATATTCAATAAAAACAGCCAGAAATATATATAGTTATTATTAATATTAACCTTTGAGTTGTTGTCAGCTGTCTGGTCGACCTCCTGTACAAGTCGTGAGTCGGTAATGTGTGTGTGTGTGTCCTTCCTCCGCCTCCCAGACCGGCGCCTCCCTCTACCTTATTAAGCTCAGAGATAAAAGACAACTGAAGTAACTCAAGTATCACCTTAAGACCAGGACCGCATAGATGTTAAAAGGTCACAGGTAAAGGTCACGGGATCAACCAATAAACTATTATAATTAATGAACCGTAGTGAAGATAAAGAGTTATAGGTAAGAAGCTATAGGAGTCCCGGGGTAGAGGAAGGTTATATATGTTGAGTGAGTTATTAAGTAAACATTCGGTCCTTCCATTAGCTCTGAGACCATGATGAGTAAAGTGCTGGAGCTCTGTTAAATCTCTCCCCATAACACTGATACTCATAGTTCACATCTTTAGGATAATGAGGAAAGAATATTACAAGTGAGAGTCAAAGGACATTAAGTTATTTATTTGACGTTGACTTATTCTCGACATAAGAATATTTAAAGGGACTTCATCAGTTTACATGACATGATAAATATATGAACCTGTACAGCGAGTTAAAGTCTGTTAATAATAAGTAATATTTCGTCCAGACTTGTTGACAGAGCTATTATCATATGACAAGAGTAAACAGTTGGTATTAAACGATATGTTGACATCTCGGTATAAACCTTATAGATATATATAGTACTCTTCATGCTTCACCCTTCATGTATCGTAGAAGTTACTGAAGCTTCATGTAGGCTGCAGGATGTAGTTAGGTGTCGGTAGCAGCGTCTAGTGATACAGACACAGTGGGTTCGCCAGAAGGTTGCAAGAAGCATCACGAAAATAGTGGTAGCCCTCTGCGTTCAACAGCAGACAGTTCTCAGCTGACCCACCGTCAGGCTCCAGGGTATAATTTTCTGCAGCGTGACCCCAGAATGGTGAACCTGTGATGTAAAGTTTTGTGTAAGACTTCTGCCTGGAGTGAGGGCTATTGGTGGTAATGAAGGAAGAGGGTTAAACTACTAGCCTGACTTACATGTTGTATTAAGAGACTGGAAGAACAACGTGAGGCCTTGGGCCTATCTGATCATCGGATTGTAATTCAGGAGGTCTAAAGTTACTTAATTCCTTTATTAGTATTTCTTATGGGGGGACAATGAGCACATATTTTATGAGGAACAGGTGACTTACCCCCGGGGTGGAGGGACAAGGCAGTACACGACCACTCGCATCCCTGACCAAATTATCAGTTCTGTCTTCCAAATAGTGGAAATGCATAACCAACATACAGACACACAGTATCAGTTCTGTCTGCTGCTTACAGAAGTAATGTTCATTGTGTGTTCGTTGAGACTAAAAAAACTCATATTTTTTATTTAGTAACTTGTTTTACCTTTACCTCTTCTATAAAACTATTGAAGTGTTATAAATGGTATTGGAGAAAGGTCTCTACGTATCTATTGCTGCTCTGGCGTATTTAATCGATAATAATAATAATAATAATAATAATAATAATAATAATAATAATAATAATAATAATAATAATAATAATAATAATAAAAGGGTTTTGTTGTTTACAAAAAGCCTATGATTCGCAATGCAGACATGTGAATAATCGGACCATTTATTTAAGTAGGAAACAGTCATTCTATGTAGTAGGTAGTTGGCAGCTACCAAACAGGGAGGTCTACCGCCTGGGAAGATATTGGAAGCATAATGTGTTGTCTAATGGTAGACCCTGCTGCCATATGTGACCAAGTCCCTGGTTGATGATCTTACTTTCTGCTTCATTTACACACAATTGCAGGGTCTCAATTGTTTCTCTTACCATTGACAACACAACATACATATATTGTTTCTCACTCTTGATCATTTTTTAATTTTTGTAATTCTCTATGGTTCTTTATTATTATTATTATTATTATTATTATTATTATTATTTTTATTATTATTATTTTTATTATTATTATTATTATTATTATTATTATTATTATTATTATTATTATTTAATTATTTTTATTTTTGTATTTTTTATTATGAATTTTAGTTACGTGAATAATTATTATTATTATTATTATTATTATTATTATTATTATTATTGCAGTGTTATTATTATTATTATTATTATTATTATTATTATTATTATTATTATTATTAATATTATTATTATTATTATTATTATTATTATTATTATTATTATTATTATTATTATTATTATTATTATTATTATTATTATTATTATTATTATTATTATTATTATTTCTGTATTTTTTATTATAAATTTTAGTTACCTGAATAAAAATTATAATAATTATTTATTATTATTATTATTATTATTATTAATTATTTTTATTATTATTATTATTATTATTATTATTATTATTATTATTATTATTATTATTATTATTATTATTATTATTATTATTATTATTATTATTATTATTATTATTATTATTATTATTTTCGCCCCCAGGCCTCGATGTGGGTCAGTGACCTGTGCCCGGGTAGGCTAATACCCGTAAAAAATGAATAAATAAATCTACGAAGAGCAAATACAAAAGTTTCTGAATATTTTTGGAAACTCGAGGTGTATTCGGCAATTTTAGACAAATGAAAAATAAATGTAACTTATCAAACTATTTTTTTATCGACAAGCTTAAATTTAATATTTGACAAACATAATAATAATGAGGAACAATACCCATTGTGACGTGCTGGCCGTCCGTCCATGTCCAGAGGCCTTCGCTGGCCTCGTCGGAGGCACCCAGCCAGAAGGAGTGACCAGCAATTTCTGCAACACAGTTGTGATCAGTAACCAGTGACAGTTGACAGATTGATCTGTGGTTCTTGCAACACAGAACGTGTGATGTTTTGCCCAAGTAACAGGCTGGCAACACCTTTTATCTATGTCTTTGTCTTGTGTGTTGCGTATAATGATTCACATCTGTTTACAAACACAACAGTCAAGCGAGTCTCTATATGAGTTAGAGAGGAGTCTTCAGCATATAGAGGCATTAATCAACATACCTTCCTGGTGTATGTAGACGTATATAGCCCTCAGGTCCTCGATGTCTGTAATGGTTGCTAGTTCCCCGGACATTCCATGACATGACTGGCGAGCGTCCGCCCAGTTCTGTGACGCCCACGTCACGAACGACAGACACAATCCGCCAACATTCACGAAGAACGTCGGGCAGTTCACCTCCGTTGTCACTGCTGCTAAAGTTTGAGAATGACTTAAATAATACAGTGGTCGAGGCTGGCGGGTCTAGGGCGTCTCAGACCACCAAACTAACAGTACAGTGAGGTAACACACACACTATGTCACTGGTACAGTGTCCGAGGAACAACCATACGTATAACATAAAGTGAAAATTGACTCGTATCTATACCTGCTTCTGTGTTCAGTAACCCTGACTCAAGACTTGTGACTTTCTCTACTATAACTTGTAAACTTTCAATAAAACATCAGTACAGTAGTTTGTATTATACTTACCTGTTCTCAATAATTTACACAATAAATTAAAATA